ATTCCGTTTTATATGAATTCCATGTTGTACGAGTCACTTAGATTTTACAAATACGTGAGCCATTCACAACCCGGCACATGTATTTGTAAAATCTAAGTGACTCGTACAACATGGAATTCATATAAAACGGAATAATCAACAGTGTTATAGGGGGGTCGACTGGTATATAGTTTTGCTATTTCTGTTATTTATTATAATGTATATATAATAACAGAAAGATAGAAAAACGATTTCTGTTATAGAGCATTTTCGTTATGATTTAGAACTGAATTATTGCAAACTGATAATATTTTTGCTAATATTTTAATCTGAAAGAGTTTATCTTACAAACTTCAGAGAATAAGAAAACAAATAATATTGATACTTATCACATGATATTTCGTTACAAAATATCATGTGATAAGTATCAATATTATTTGATTTATTATATCATATGTTTATATGTATGATATAAGAAAACAAATAATACTATAATACTATATACATATATCACATAGTGATATATAGTGACCACTCAAACGTCAAACTCTTTTAAGCTAATTGTCCTCTTAGATAATCATGTTTTCTATTCTATATGACTCATTGTTTTTTAATCTTCCTTAAGCGGAACCACCCCTTTACCGACCAATAACCACCAGGACTTGAGGGTATTTCACACAGGTTGCCTCAAACAGAATATTTCGTGCTTATGCCCGTTGGGTTAAAGCGATATTCATTACTTTAACATTTTTACCGACCGTTCCCAAATGTTCGGATGTTATTTAATATTGTATCAATCTATTTGTATCATTATAAATTAGAAAAAAAAATCAATTGACTACTTACCGGAGGAATATTTACAGGTGGAAATCTCTTTGTTGTATAGGTAATAAGTAAACTTGTCTTACCAACTGCCTCGTCTCCTACGATAACACATTTTACAGACTGCATTATTACAGTCTTAACTAGTCTACACTTATAATATAATAAAGATAATGTTAATTATTACTAATAATTTATGAAATTTTGATCACTTCTATGTGGATACTAACACTTCATAAACCTGGCTATTTACAAAAATTACTGTATATCTATTGGAGTATATATAAAGTAACTATAAATGCAATCATTTTGAACTTATCAACAAGATAACAAATGGAACGTTACTACGTCTACATTTATTACATTCGGTTGATATTATCAACAGTATACATCTAACAGTTATTGGTTGCTTAACGCTGAAAAATTAATTACGACAATCCCTTTATATATGAGGCAAGCGTTTTAATTGACGCTATTCACCATGCAAAAGTATGAAAGTCTCGAGGAGCTTCCTGATGATAACGTCATTCCTCCTATGCAGTAGCACACTCCCAGAGCCTGTGAGCCAGACAGTTACTTTGCTGCCAGCTAATATTAAAAGCTCCGATTGTTCTACTGTATTTACAAATTACCGTTCTTAATAAATTGTACAGCCCATTTATCGAAGCATGCTTGTTTGCCGAAGTCTAGAGAACCATTTTGCTTATTATCGTAGAATTTATGCTAATAAGGGGGAACTAAAAGTGTTAAAACAGTTATTGATAACTTTTTCTCTAATAAATATTAAATAAATACTTGCAGGTACAAGCATTTATTATTATTATATTTTTGAATTTCTTCCTAAAAGAGTATAATAGCATATAAGCGAATGTATTTTTTTTAAACTCTGCACTGTGGGCACTAAAAGAGCCTCTTTTAGCGAACCCATTATGGGTTCGGCCAGGCCCACAACGAGACGGCCGAGTGGACCATCCATCTGAAAAATTTCTGGGATTTTATCGACCGGTTCGGATTCGATCCCGGATCCCTCAAAGCTATAGGCTGCCGGCTGAGCGGTCTATAATAAAATTGAAATTGATTTTTTGTAAATAAATATTAGCAATACTTCTTTCAAAGGCAAATGCTTGTTTTCATAACAAAAGCTTGAATCAAGAACACACATTCTTCACTTAAAGAAACACTTTCTTTTAATAGAAAGCACAATTTTTCGTTTTGATGAAACACTGAATGTATGACGTGTGCCATGTCTAGAATGAGTCGATGATCTAGAGTCTAGATCAATATTTTTCTAATTGCAGTCTAGATTCTAGACTGCAATTAGAAAAATATTTGTTGCACTCAGAATTGCGTGTAGAACGCGAGATAAACATATTGATGGTATTATTTCTACAAAATACTTCGAAATGTATTCAACATAACGTTATCCTGTTTTTGGCTGCGGGAGGAAATAAACGGGTGGACATTCATTGTAGAATGGTAAAGATGTATAGGAATGCGTGCCTGTCCAAAATAATTATTTTGAAATGGTGTGCAAAGTTCCTTGAAGGATCCCAGTTGACATGCCGTCCAGCAGGAGTTGGACCCTTTTAAATGGAAAGCTCTTGGATCTACCGCTGTAAAGTCCTGTAAGAGATCTGGACTTTTACAGCGAGTGATCGGTCATCTAAGAAAGTCTATGAAAGGTCGATTTTATGTCGTAGACGAGCGACTTCTAATAGAATCGTTAACCCAGTTCGTCAATGGGACAATTGCCTTAACGGCAGTGGCGATTTCTTCTAAATGGAATGAATCTATCGAATTTTATAGCTTTCTAACGGAAACTTATTGTTCACCCCTTACATTATGTCTAACACTTTAATGCAAATAAATCTAAATTATTATTGTTGTTGAAACACGAAAAATAATATATTTTAATCCAAAATTGATTGTTTTGGAAAGCCTGTCTTGACTTTAGTTTTGAAATAAATTCAAGTTCAATTCACTTTATGGATGGTGCGGTATTTATTCCGCCATTTTCACTAACCATTTAGTATATTTTATATTTTACTACCCTTCTCAGAACGAAGAAACTATTAATAATCAATTGCATTGTATTTCGGCGATTATCAATCAAATGTGAGATTTAATTCACAATAACTAGTTGTGAATCAGTGGTCGAGCGGTCAAGGTGAACCTTGACCTCTAAGGGAACCGGGTTCGAATCCGAACGGGTCGCAAAATCCGCAGGAATTTTTCGAGGGGCGGTCCGTTCGAATATGTCGTTCCTCACCACCCGGCAGCCCAATTGTGGGCCTGGCCGAACCCATAATGGGCTTGCAAAAACATCTCCACCTAATCAATTTATTTAATAATTTCGATTTATTTCTTATAATTAAATTTCCTAAATTATTTTCTATATTGTGTACATCCCAAGCCAACAACGGCGTATTTTTATATTTCAAGATACAGTATATCCATGATATTAAGGGTCAGAGTATTTCTGTAATTGAAGTCACGGAGGAAATAAATCAACGACAATTTGATCTTGAAACAAAAGTACATTTTCTTCCCCACTCCGTTCGTAATTTAATGGCAAAATTGCAAGAAAGCGGCTGCAGTGTTGTTGGCAAAGACAATTAGAATTATTTGAATGAGAGAATTTAACCACAATACCACAATTCAAAGTGTAATGGATGTATTGATTGAGAAGGGATTTAATTAATTGATTGTAATCAAGACACAGAAGTATTTGAAGAGTATTCAATTATTTCTTACTACATTACACCGCAAAAAGTGACAGCACACTTGGAATGTTTCAATCGAAAGTCGTTGGGTGGAATTGTTCAAATACACACACCAATAATTTGAATTAAACGAACTTTCGTATAATTATTGAATATATTTTGTCTGCCTGGCAGTAACGCACTCATAGAAAAGGTATTTTCTTTTATGAATAAGTTATGGACGAGAGGAAGGGGATAACACTACAGAAAGTGCACTTCATTTGCAAGAATTACTATTGTGTAATGGTGACTTATTTTTTATTTGTGAGAAATTTTCTACATAACTCTCTCTGTAGTACAGGTTTAAAATATCTCAGGTCTCATCCTCTCTCTATGAGGAAAAGTTAGCCTTTTTACTGTCAATTTAGGATGGTGTTTTATATTTTGTTAATATTGCATGTATTTTCTTTTGGAGTTGTTCTAGTTCTGTACATGTGTTCTGTACGTGTGTTGACTGCTTTAAAAAAATGTGTTTTGCATTCAGATTTATGTTAATATTGAGTTTAATATGTTATTGTACAAATAAAATAAAGAATAACGAAAGGATAATGTTCTGTGAATTTGGACTATTGGAATCCTAAATATTTGTAGGCTTTGCCCTCATCCATAGATTGAATAACACCTCCATTTCTGAGTACAAAATCATCATTCTTCAGCTGTGTATTCTGCATTTCTCTAGGCCAAACTCCATTTAATGTAATTTCTAAAAGGCGATTTATCTGCTTGCAGCAGTTTTATGTCATCCATATGCATCATATTTCAAAATTATTATTAAAAATAAACACCAAAACCTTCTTGTAAATCAGCAGATACTTTATACAACTCTACACAACTAAAGTAAACATTTTCATCATTTTTTAAGCTGTTCTAATTGTAACAGCATGAAGATGGTCTACTTAAGAAGGCTGAAAACATCCACTTTAGTTGTGTAATTTGCTGATCTGCTGATTTATTTAAATGATGTTTGTTTGTTAGTTGATAATATGTAGTGTGTTATTCTGTCGTGTTTGACGATGTATCCGTATTTGTTGTTGTTTAACCTATTGGAAAGTGGGTTTAATTAAGGCCAAGAAACCAAAGTGGACTTAATGGATCTACCTGGAAAATGCCTTGCTTTATATGTATTTGGCTTGTTTTGATTGGTTTAGTTTATTTGTGTATGTAAACATGATGTGGGCAATTTGCTAAAAGGAGATATTTCCCAGGAGAACCTATGGGAAACTGATCCCTATTTAGGTATTACAAACATGAAAAGCCACATGGAAAACTCCAGCCATTTGGTAAAGCACAAACCCATGACCAACTATCAGTGTTCAATGGTTTTTATCCATTCAGCCACTGGTGGGCTTGGGTTGTTTTGATGTATGTATTATGTGGCATAATGTTATTCTCCAGTGTTACATTGTTTTCTAGAAATGTAATTAAGTGTTAAATATCTTTTGCAGAGATGTAATGACTTCATAGCTAATAAGACAAGCAGACAGTAAAATAAATTCCAAGTGATTACAATTATTTTATATAAGAACGGTACTGATTTGAAAAAAGTTCACTGGATGAGAACCAAACCAGCAATCTTGTATCAGTAAGGAGTACTGCTGCCAAACCATACAATCTATGATGGAAGGTTCTGCAAAAATTTAAAGTTAAAATATTCGGAGAGATTTAAGAGTTTCTTGAAAACATTTGAAGAAGTGCACTTTCTTACTTTGCTCAATAAAGACTGATACAAAGGCTTATCTACACACACAGTATTACAGAAATCTCCAAGAATCATGTCATAACTTCCCTTTGTCAGACCATGTAAGAATGTAACATTATTAAGGCAAACTAATGATCAAAGAAAATTTTCAGATTTTTCTGCAGCCAGAACCATATAATATTCTATACTGTTTTTTTATACAGGATAGCCCAAAGTCATATTTTGTCACAGTTGCTATTAACATAATTTTGATTAAATCTCAAAAAATACATTTGTATTTTGTAATAAAATATGCACAAGTATTAAATTGCATATCATCATACAGGGTCTGTTCAAAAATAATCAAACTTCTTGAATTGGGCAGAAACAGTGTCCTAGCATCGTGAGATTGGCAACACTATGTTTGTAAATAACCTACTGAGTAAGCTGCTTTTTTGGATTGTTGATATCTGGTTTTGTTCCTGCATTATTGTTTTTGAGTGAAAGGTGTTTCAGTGTTTGTGGCAATTTTTGGGAGCAACGTGAAGTTTTGCTTGAAACTGGGGAAGTTTTTACAGAAACATTCCAACTTTAGAATCAAGCTTACAGAGGTGATGCTCTAGATCGTATGCAGTGTTACAAATGGTTTACCTGATTCAAAAGTGGTCATCAATCAGTTGAAGTTGACCCTCAACCAGGAAGGCCTTCAACCTCAACTGATGACATTCATGTTTAGAAAATCAAAGATCTGGTGTCTGCAAATTGTCACCTGACTGTCAGAGAACTTGCAGAAGAGGATGGGATCTCAATGGAGTCATGCCATGACATTTAATGGAAAAATTTAACATGCAGAGAGTTGCAGCAAAATCTGTTCCTTGTTTGATGACCAAACTGCAGGAGGAAAAGCGAGTCAGGACTACTTTGCAAAATGGAAATACCACTGGGAAAGTGTGTGAATAGGGGAGGGGAGTACTTTGAAGGGAACAAAGACCAATAATCTAATTTGAAGAATAAAAATTAAAAAAATAAAGTTCAATTATTTTTTGAACAGACCTCTTATAACTCAAAAGTTAATGATTTCTGCACCCAGTCCTGAATCAGTATCTCTGAAAAATAAAAAAAAAATCTGTCAGTTGCATTGTAAAACACATTTGAAGCATTTCTGAAATTATTTTGAACTGCTTCCTTTAGTGAGTTCTATAAGATTTGCAATGTCATTTTTCATTTTTTTAAGATCATAACACATTATTGAACATTCAACATGAATAATATGGGTCTGAAAAAAAAATTAAAGCAACTTAAACAAATTTAATCCTTGTATTTTGTAAAGAAACATATGGACCATTTATTTTGAATGTGGTGTAAGTCCATTTTTGAAAAAAATTGAGAAATTTCATAATTCACATATAACTTAGTGTAAACTTTTTATTTATAAACAATTCACACTTAGTATTTTATAATAACCATATGCTTTGATCAATTAAAAATTTGTCAGTAAATGACATTGCATAACCATTGATTATGAAAGTTGTGTAAGTCCATTTTCTGCAGTCTAATTAAGCACTTATGGGCTGTTCTTAAATTACATCTGCATTTTACGAACAAAAGCACAATTTGATAGAATGGAAGTAGATGAAATGAAAAAAAAATCCATGTAATGAGCCTAAATGAAAACCAGTGCCTAATGATAAGCTCATAGTAATGATAAGTTTATCATAAAATACTTTAAAAATAAGTAAATATCTTTAATGTTGAAAATAAACAACACCATTTCATTTCTTGTTTATAAATAACGACAAGAAATAAAATAGTGTTATAAATATAATTAACATTCAAAATAAAAAAAAATACTACCACTATTTTATTTCTTGTTATTATTTATAAACAAAATTGGATTAATACAAAATATATTTTATGTGTTATTTAATTTTTCACAATTGAAATTAAATGATTTTTACAATTGACTAATTATGAAAATGGTATAAGTCCATTTACAGCTTGTAAATACATATTATTTTAGTTAAATTCACATAAAAGAAATTTATATAATCAAATTACATATTGATAAATTAGTAGAAACATTGCCAGACTTGACATAATTTATATTTTTGAATTGACTAATACGCTAACCTTTTAATTTTCTTGAAACAAAAAATGGACTTGCACCACTTTCAAAATAAACGGTCCATATACAAAATCATGTTTTTAAGACAATTCTTTTTCATTTAATACACTTCAACAAAACATATAATGACTTTTGGGATATTTCAATAGATCAAAACAGACAATGACTATAGAAAACAAAAATGTTCTATGATAAAATTATCTGCAATTGTCTTAAACAAGCAGTATTATATTTTATACTAAGATTTTAACCTTATCATCACTTAATGCTATTCATATTTTCATTAAAAATTGGAAAAATAGTATTTAAAACAACTTTTTCCCTTGAAATAAAAAAAAAAATAAATAAATAAATGTATTATTTACATTCCATAAACAGAATTAAGAATAGGGCATTTGTATTATAATCAAAAACCTTTTTTACAATACACACACTAATGCTATAAAAATTCAACTATTTTTGAAAGAAAAATTATTCCTCCCACTTTGTAATTAAAGAAGTTGATATAATTTTAGAGATGATATAACAATATTCTTTCTAGTGTTATATAAACGGGAAAAGAAGCAAAAATCATAACCAAACGGTAAATAAAATTAGTTTTACATTAAGAAAATTGAATGAAACATTCGTAAAAATGTAATATCTTACATATGTCAACTGTGAACATTAAACTTCAATTTGTATAATATCTGTAATAATTAGACAAACAACAAAATGATGCAAATTAAAAAAACCTTATTCAAGTTTTTTTCAAAATGTATTTTTTAATATCAACAATTATAAGTTTAACATTCATGAAATGCGTTCCAAGACATTCATCAAAGTACTAAGTATACTTAAAATGGCAAAATACTAAAAAAAAACTTACAATATAAATAATTATTTCTCCAACTTTTTGGCAAAGATTACAATTGCTAAATAAAATTTCAAAAAAAATTTTTTAAGTATATTTAATGTAAAATTAGTAGAAAATATTTATATTTAACTAATAAATTATAAATGTCTATCATTTTGATCAAAATGCTGATTGCAGGAAAAAAAACTTGATCAAAAATTATTGATTCAATCAGCTTCATTTACTATGGTTACTAATTAGAGATATGGAATGCTTATATATAAATAATACATAAAACATTTATTAATTAAATTTTATTAGAAACTTTACTTTATGCACAATTTATACGAAAGTTTGCTGCACAAATCAGACAGAAAATTCTAGTAAAATATAATAATAATAATAATAATAATAATCTATAAAA